CGTGTCCCCTACATTGGCAGGCAGATTCTAAACCACTACGCCACCAGGGAAGCCCTAGGATGACTTTTAAATACAGAATTTTATTTTTCACAATTCCATGTTGAGAAGGGTCTCACTTAATATTGGTTGGATAAAATTAAATTTATGTACCAGGTTTGTAATCAAGAATTGTGGTGATCTATTGCTTTTACCTTTAAACCTGAGGGGGTAATTTGATACTTAGAACATTGGTAATCATGTGAAATAGAAAAGACTAAATAAAGTGACCTTTGAATTAAATGGGTCCAGAAGATTGTGTATTTTTAATTAAAATGTGCAATTAAATTTGTAATTAAAGTATGCTATTAAAAGCAATGTCGGTGGCAAGGGAATGGCTGCTGCTTTGAATTGTGCACCGTTTGGGATAAATTGGAGTTTACTGTGTTTCCCACTAGCACTTTGTCACTAAACAGATTCTATTCCTGCTCTGACCCCCACGCAGCTCTCAATGTGCCTCAGTCCCATTCAGAGGCCTTGGAGTGTTTTCAGCTCTGTGCTTTAGATCACTTGACCATGGCTCTAAGCAGCCTGTTTATAACTGTTCTCCTTATGCCAAGGAACAGTTTATAAGTAATTGTTCTGTCTCTTGTGAAGAAGTGATCCTTCTCTGTGGCATATATTTAGATTAAAAAGAAGGGTGCAAAACAGAAGACATTCACACACAGACACTGTCTACAGAATACCATGCGTGGAAGTGCGGTATTAACCTGGAGCTTTCAGTACCTGCTTTTGAAGGTTTTAGTCCTATGATTGTAGAGATAGCTTCCTCCATAGTGAAGTTTTAGAATCCCAGCTGTGACTATTAGGACCAAGACTTAGATTAATGCTTCCAAAATCCCTAAGAGCATGGGACCACGAGTAGCTTGTGAGGATAGCTGGGGACGAGTGGCATTGACCTTATTCTTGATGTTCAGCTACCAGAGGAATTTTTTGGCTTCTAAAGACAGGATTTATTTGTCTTGAAGGCTTTTTTGGGTGAGCCTTAGCTTTGTCATTTTGTTCAGAAGTTTCTTTTGATCATGTTCGTTTCCATAATTGTTATACTTGGAATTTAAATGTAGAGCTTTATAGATTTTTTAAAGAAGTGATTCTTGGTTTTGAGATTGTCAATATGCACATTCTAAATTCAGAATGACGTGAAAAATAGATTTGGAGGATATGGTTAAATGATGCTTGGTTTCCAAGCCTTCCTTGGTAGTTTATGACTGTTACTAGCTGATGCATACAAAAGTGGGAAAAAGTGGGTCCAGGCTAAATATTTTTTCTTGATGTTTGACTTGCTACTGCTTCTATTTTTTAGAAATCTGTACTCATAATAACCTGAAACAGGCACTGTATAAATAAGGTGCCTTTACATTGTCATAGGAATGAATAACAGTGTAGGAATTCATATATACTGAAATTGATATTTGCACAAGAAGTACTGGAATTTGAGACAGTAGGTAACTGTCTCAAAACAAGTTTTTGTGGTAGAGCTCTGTTAGGAAATGTGTGGTTACATTATATTTCAGGCATACTGAAGGTGACACAGGTTCAGATATAAACTAGTTGTGAATTGAGGGGAGAAGAACATAGCATTTCAGAGTCCTGGATTCAAGTCCTGACCAGTACTTTCTGCCTTTTTTTTCCTTTAAGGAAGCTGATTGACCTTGCCCAGCTTCAGATACCATTTCTTCCTTACAGGGAAGAATATGAGTATCTCACAAGATCAGTGTGAGGCTAAAATTAAACACTAGAACACCACACAGCTTAAAGATGAGAATGGGGAGAGTCTTGCCTATCTTTGTATCATTTGTGATGCCTCTGTGTATTTTAAGCATCCAACACATATTTGCTGACTTGATTAACTCACTTTAAAATGAAAATCTGTGAAGTTACTAACTCCCTTGTAGCTCCAATGCCAACATGTTAATGCTTCTACTACAGTGGATTTGGGAATGCAGCCGTTTAGCAGCAAATATCTCCTTTCATATTATTTTACTTAGGGTAGTAATAACATTTTGCTTACCTTAAATACTAATTGGCAGGTGTTGCTCTTCCTAATACTACCACTAAGCAAATTAGAAACTTTGTGGCAGAGAGCTCAACTGGGGATAAATATTGATTTTACTCAATTTCCAATAGTTGAAATTTGGTTGACTCCTCATTAAAACTAGCCGTGGCTGCTTGAGGGGGTCAGGTCAAAGACCCATTCATTCAATGGCTAGACCATCTGATGGTGACATTGATGATAATACCTTTGGTTAAATTAATAACACCACTGCACTTCTCATTCGTGCATTTAGCAAACTTCTTGAGTGCCTACAATGTGCTAGGAGTAAGAGCTCAGAGGACACGGCAAGAGACAACTAAGCAGGTTAGGATTTTTTACTTTACCCAGTGACCCAACTCCAGCAGGCACTGCTCTGCTAGAGAGTGACCTCGGTAGGCAGTAAACTGTTTCTCTGAAGTGATGGATAACTTGAAGATTTTAGAAGAAAGACATCTACTGGTTTTAAAAAAATGCATCTGTAAAAAGGCAGTCTTCTTGCAGCGTCACTTCGCATGCCCAGACCATCAGCATCTGGCCCCTCTAAGAGCTCCCAGAAGCCTTATTTGCAGCCTCAGAGTATCTCTCACTATTAAAACTGTGATTCTCAGCCTTGGCTGCATATGTTAGAGTCACCAGGCTTTAAAAAAACCTGGTATCAATGCTTCATAATAGACCAATTAAAAAAGAAAAACTTGGGGGAAGGGACTCAGGCATCAGTTTTTGTTTTTGTTCTTGTTTTTGTTTTTTAAGCTCTGTAGATGATTCCAGTGTGTACCAAGATTAAGAAAGGACTTTGATTAGAAGCTGCCAGAATACAGGTGTGAGGGTGGTGGAGAGGGTAGGTAGGAGAAATGGACTCAATGCTAGTACAATTGATAATTTGATTAATTTTGTTATAGAATAGCAGTGTGACAAAACCACCCAGTGTTCACTTTGCCTTTCCTTCCCCTGTTATATTGGTAGCATCTTTCTGGTTTAATTTTAAATGAATACATGTAAACTCCTTAACATGTAGTAGATATATGTTATTTTTCCTCACTTTATTTTTTGACTGGAGTGGTCTACCTCCGTCAATAGTGAATGTTCTCATCACTGCCTTAGCAACCTCACTGGGTAGGAATTATCCTCATTCTAGAAATAAGGAAGTTAATGACTCAGAGAGGTTAAGTAGTTTCTTCAAAGTCACACAGCTGGTAAACAGCAGAGCCAGGATTAGAACTTCTGTGTGTTTATCTCCAAAGCCTGTATTCTTTTCATCATAAACAGCTTCTTTGAGCAGATTTTTTAATGTTCAGCTTATTTGAATCCTGCTCAGTGACAACAGAACTGCAACACATTTCATAAGAGGGCACTGTGCATGCAATAGACACATGATAAATGTCAAATTAGGAAAAAACTGAATGCTTAAAAATGCAGTGGTTTCACATGCAACTTTTAAAAAACAGAGCCTCGAGTAAAACACAATCTATATGAGTAGTGTGAGAAAAAAAAAAAGAACTGAATTAGTTTTAGCTCTCTCCTAACCCCCTTTTTGAAAAACAGGAAAAATATAATTTGATAAAAGGGTATAAGCTAGCAATGATTATCCCCTCAAAATTATTGTGGTCCCCAAAATACAATCCCAAGTTTTCATCGTTATTAGGCATTGTGTTTAGCCTTCTCTCTCTCTCTCTCTCTCTCTCTCTCTCTCTCTCTCTCTCTCTCTTTGTATACTTATAAAGAACCACATTGGCCACTCTGGTTAGCCTATTCTAAATATCTGTATTCATAACCACTTGGACCTGAGGTGCTGCTTAAAAGAAAAAAAAAATCCCTTTTTTTTTTTTTTTGCTATGAAATTGATCCAAAAATGGTAATTAATAAGAAGTATTTGGACCTTTACTGGGAATCTTCCAGGAAACCCTCAATTGGTTTGGTTTGACTTTTAGTAGACTAAATCTTTTTAATGTCCATTTTTGTCACCACCCGTATAGTGTTTCTCGCCTTTTCAAACTGAGAAACTTTCCCTTAGTTGAAAAATGGAGACCTTTAGGATTGGCTTTACTTGTCTGTGCATTCCACTGATTCCGATCTCTTGTTACTTCCTATAGAGTTGGGACACATCAATGAGCCAGAGGTGAGAGGGCTCAGATGATGGATAAAAGCAACAATAGACGCATTTGGAAGCAACTCTTACTCCAGAATTATTCTGTTTTTTATCTTTGTTTATGCTTTTCTTTCTTTTCCACATGTTCTCATGGGCTTGGATGTCCTCAAGTGTAAATCTTTGTGTTCATATTTCCCTGTATTCCTTAGCTAGGTCTTCAGACCCCTTTTAGAAAATTGGATTCAGTTTATTTGAATAAGCTCCTCTATAATTAATGTACTTATGCATATACACACACATATTACATGTACACACACACATACTCATGCTTCTCCACCGTTTTAGAATCTGAAATAATTGTACTTGGTAAAGGCTGTAAATTTGTCAGGGTAATGTGTACAGAACACTGACAGATTCTTGGTTGATGCTTTTCGCTTTCCAATTTTATGGGTAAGGAAACTGAAGCTGAAAAAGTCGTGCCCATGAAGCCCACACAGCAGCTCAGCGGAGACTTGCACCCACAGTTTCCGAAGCTGAATGTTGCCTTGCTGCTGGGTGCTCTGGCTCAGGCAGGACATGTATGATGGAACACTTTGGGTATGTGTGTTTTTTAAACAGCACAGCTTGCTGAGTTCTAACTGATGTTTAAACTTGCAACTGTAATAGACAGGAGATGAAAAAAGGCCACATGTATATTTCTAGAAGAATTAATGTAGACTTTTTTTTTTCTATTGAGAGAATGTGCTGGCATTAATGACAAGACCATATGCCAGAATGAAAGTGGATGTCTGTCATCAGTGGTGTAGAGCTAACTTATGCTTTTTTCCCATTCCCTTTCATTAGGGCAGAGCTTGGGATATGGCTTTGTGAACTACATTGACCCTAAGGATGCAGAGAAAGCTATCAACACCTTGAATGGATTGAGACTTCAAACCAAAACAATAAAAGTAAGTTTATGTTTTTTTTTTTTTATATCTACTTGCAGAACAGAGGTTAAAAGAATTAAGGTCTACTTGCCGTTCTTTGCTTTATTCATTTTGTGCCCATATGGACACTTCTCTGGGAGGCATACCAGAATTTTTTTGTTTGTTGCATGATGAGGGAAACTTTATTCATGAGTACTACATGTAATTACTTACGTGTTAACAAAGGGACAGAGCAGCAACTTTCTCAGATAAGTACTTTATGAAACTTACTGAATTAAATTTCCTTCAATAGAGAATTACTTGCCTATAACTTGAAGAAACCTTATACCATTTCTTCTAGCACAGGGGTTGGCATTCTTGTTCTGTGAAGGGCCAGGTAGTAAATATGTTAGGCTTTGCCGGCCGTGCAGTCTGTGTCACAACTTCTCAATTTTGCCCTCATAGCTTGAAAGAAGGTACAGCCTCCATATGAACGAATAGATGTGGCTGTGATCCTATAAAACTATATTTATGGGCACTGAAACTTGAATTTCATGTAATCTTCATGTGTCACAAAATAGTCTTTTAATTTTGCCCCAATCATTAAAAAATGTAAAAATCATTCTTAGTTCTTGGGTCATAGAAAAACATGTCCTTGAGCTGTAGCTTGACTCTGTTCTGGCAGATTCAGTTTACTTTGAGGAGACTGACTAGAAGAGTGTACATGCCACACAGGTTATTTTTTCTGTTACAGTTTTCTTTTCAAGACAAATGGTAAATAATTTTATGGATGTTTTTCCTGCTTTTTTGAATTTTTGAAATTCTGATGTAAATTCTCTCTGGATAAGAAGTTAATCCAGTTTGCTGTGTAGATTTCTTTTCCTTTAGAATATGAAAGGGACGTTGCCTCTGGCAGAAGCTTAGTTCATGTGCCATCAATTTTCCCTCTCCTGCCCAATGCAGACATTGCCAATCATGGCAGTCTTTCTCACTGAGTCTGGATGAGGCTCCCAAGTATTTTTTTCAAAATAGTGTTCCAGACAACCTCTGTCAGTTGACTCAAGTTGGAACCTATTTTACACCCTTGATTTAAGAACTCAGCTCAGACCATCGCCTGGAGTGGTAAGGGGAAGTTAGTCAGAGCTGACTGTGGTATCCGTCTTGCTTAGAGACGTGTCTAGAAGATTTCTGCTCATTTTCTCAGGTATCTGGAAATGCAGTGTCATCTTTGTGCTTAAAAATAGCTTCTCTCAGGGCTTCCCTGGTGGCGCAGTGGTTGGGAGTCCGCCTGCTGATGTAGGGGACATGGGTTCCTGCCCCGGTCCGGGAAGATCCCACATGCCGCGGAGCAGCTGGGCCCGTGAGCCGTGGCCGCTGAGCCTGCATGTCCGGAGCCTGTGTTCCGCGACGGGAGAGGCCACAACAGTTAGAGGCCCGCGTACCGCCAAAAAAAAAAAAAAAGTTGCTTCTCTCAGAGTTGTCAGTTAAGGTAACTCACTAGCCCTGGGTAATTTTGACATCTTGTTCTTTATATTTTGGGGCCCAGAGGAAATATGCCTCCCACCATTGTCTCATCTAAAGGAAACTGTATGCAGTGGCCCCCAAATATACTTGGATGTAAGATGTCTGAGATTCTACATGTTTCTTGGTCAAGAAAATGTCCTACGTACAAAACGTCTGATTATTAGATTTCTAATACATTCTAAGATTGCAAACACTTGTTTATTTTGACCTTGTTTTTTCAATCTGGACGATTTTTTCTAATTGTCCACACTTCTTTGCATGCTCTCTGTTTGCGTCACAGAGATTAACCTTTTAATAGTACTGTTAAGTGTAATGATCAAGTGTCCTTAAAAAGAAGACATCCAATGTCCAGTTACCTTCAGATTGTTTTGTGAATGCTGTATCCTACTGCAGACTTTTGTGAGGCTCCCAACTTAAACTGACTTCAGGATTGCTGCTAATTTATTGTAGTTTTGAGGTCCTGAGTTGTGGTTAAGAAGAAAATGGAATAGATGGTTGGATTGACATACCCTTTTCTCCATTCCAGAAGTACCACCCTCATTTCATTCTACTGAGTCAGTTCTTTTGCTCTAAATCAGTTCTTTTGCAGTAAGGTCCACGAGAAGGTAGAAATGCAGGGGAAACAGGTCTCCATTGAAGAAATACCCATGGCCTGCACAGAGACCATTGGTGACAGCTGCTTCCTCACTGTCCATCACCCGGCCTTCTCTTCAGGGCCCAGCTGCTCAGGCAGAATACGTGGAAGAAAGGACAGTAATGCCTTGTGGCTTTTACACCACATGTGGCATCTGCTCCTTTTCTTTGGATTTTCTGAGATGGGGGTGGAGGTGGTGGGTAAGCAGCAGGCTACTTCTTTCCCCACCCCCATTCGGTTCCTGCAAAGATACCAGATAACAGCTGGTGTCCTCAATTTGGCCCACATTTCTCTGAGGCAAAGCAGACCATTTTCCAAAACTACATAGCACCATTTTTGTCTGTTTGTTCTTTCTATGTGTGTTTTTTTCCCCCTTATTTTCAGTTAGATGTGTCTTGTGTTCTTATACAACATCTGAGCCAGGTTTTTCCTAGTGTTCACTGCTCTAAGTACCCTTTGGAAGTTGTATTTAAGCCTTTCCGGTCCCTATTCTGTAAATTAGTCTCTTTTTCCTTTCTCCAGTCCGTCCTGGTGGTGGCCATCACAAAACACCACTTTCCTCCTATTGCTTCTCACTCAAAATTCTCTCATATTCCCATACTGTTTTACCATATCATTTGGCTTAACTTTGGAGTAACCCAGTGTTATTACTGTTCTCTATGGTAGTCAGACTGGCTTTTCGCTTGCAAGCGGATCTTATTCCCGGCCTCTGCATATATGCTCGTATAGCTCCCACTTCCTGGCATACTCTTTCTCACTCAGTTTATTTTTTATTTATTTTTTTAAATAAATTTATTTATTTATTTATTTATTTTTGGCTGCGTTGGGTCTGTTGCTGTGCACGGTCTTTCGCTAGTTGCGGCGAGCGGGGGCTACTCTTTGTTGCTGGCGGGCTTCTCATTGCAGTGGCTTCTCGTTGCGGAGCACAGGCTCTAGGCACGCAGGCTTCAATAGTTGTGGTGCGTGGGCTCAGTGGTTGTGGCTCGTAGGCTCTAGAGTGCAGGCTCAGTAGTTGTGGCGCATGGGCTTAGCTGCTCCGCGGCATGTGGAATCTTCCTGGACTAGGGCTCGAACCCATGTCCCCTGCATTGGTAGGTGGATTCTTAACCACTGCACCACCAGGGAAGTCCCTCTCACTCAGTTTAACAGCAATCATCTCATCTTTTAGAGCCTGTCTGAAGTTCTTTCTTCAGCTGCTGCCTTCCTGGGTTGTTCTAACTCGTGTTGGGTTCCCCCCTTCTTTGAAATATGTTCTCTTTACCCATGAGGAATCACAGAAGTTTTGGGGTCGAAGGGACCCATATATGATTTAGACTTAAGCACTAACCTCTGCCCCCAGTAAAAGAGTTGAGACCTAGGTAGTGGTCATACTTAGACCAGGCAGTTGAGGACAGAGCTGTGACTCAAATCCTTGTCTTTTGATATCTACACTAAAACTCTTGCCGTGACACCATGCTTTCCATTAGAAAGCTGCAGTAGATTAATTCATGTATACGTTATGTACAAATGTACAAGTGTTTGTGCACCCTTGAGTTCAGGTTTCTCATATGTCTTCCAGGCCACGTAGCATTTATGCATTTTATAGATTGGAATATTAAAACAGTGAATCAAGTGCTGTGAAAGGTGGTTTATTTAGCAGTTTCTCCTGGGGCTTCCTAGTAGCATTAGCCCAGTAGGGTTTTGTGCAATAGATGGATGGTATGTTGAATAAATGAGAAATATTCAGTATTTCTGCAATGAGTAAAGCAAAGTCCCTCAGGCACTGTGAAATCCTAAAGCAGTTATTCCCAAACTTGGTTGCATCAAAATCACAAGGAGAGTGAGTTAGAAGTACAGGTTCTAGGACCCACTTCAGACCTACTCAATCAGTGTCCAGAGGTGAGATGCAGGAATCTGTTTTTAATATGCTTTCTAGGTAATTTGTGACAGTGAGTCTAAGACCTAGCACTTAGGAACTACCAAAATGTATGTTTTTTTGAATAGATGGTTTCTCTAAACACTTGGTATCTTTGCATGCATAGTTTCGTTTGTCTTCATCTTGTACCTTGATATTCTTCTTCTGGATAATTCACTTAACTGGAATATTAACCATGCTTATTTTTTGAGCGTGCTGAATGCTAGTTTAGTATTTGGAGTAAAAAGCAGTTCATGCAGTTTTCACTTTTTAAGAGGTGTGGCTTAGAAATTAGAAAAACTTAATATGTTCACCTTATGTTAGAGAGAGGTTTATTTATTATGAATAGCAGCATTCATAGGTTAAAGTTCAAGATGACGATTCTCTAAAGGATCACGTTTTTTTCCTGGTTGGGTTAATGTCCCAGCAGCTTACATTGCTGGTGACATCACACCATCCTTGAACTGCACAGGAGACAGTCATGATGGGTTAAGCCTACCCGCGTTGTCCCTAATAATCAGCTGGTAAATAAAGTGGATATTACAAGATGTTTTTAACTTTTGATATTAGGGAGGGTAGTAAAAAGGGAGTATATGCACAATTCTTTCCAATCCTAAAGGAAAATGTATTTTTTTGCCTAGGTTAATGGCATCAGACTTAAATTCATAATTAGCAGAGTAAAACTATTCATTTCTGAAAATACTTAGACTTTCCACCCACATCAAGTACTGTGAATAAGAGAATATCACATACACAGTAAAATGGATATCTTGACTCCCAGCATCTCTTCCAACTCCTCCCCCTTCTACAACGGGCCTAGGAAGCTTTATTCCACAAAGTGGGCTTGCTTCATCTGAAAGTAGTAGGAGCTATTATCTCAAGGAATAGAGAACTTTTCAGCATTATTGATAGGTACTGCCCTTAGAAATCCATGTCTTCTGTCTCACAACAGAAGAAACCCTGTCTAGAAATGCTACCAGCATAGAAAAA